AGATGGCACTTGTAACAAGTGTACCAAATCGTGAATCAAATGACCTTTTAAATGGCTGTAAACATTTGTATTCAGTAATGTATGTCAAAAGTATGTAAGTAAGAATTAAACAATGTAGATTTGTTTGTTATATGGGTAGGTTATGCAGTGCTTATTTGCATCTATGCTGCATATCAATGGTATATCATTAGTTTGAAACTAAAAAAATATATTACTAAGTTAGCTAGATGGGATTCGTATAAAAAAATAACAATTTTTTCTAATTACATAACTTTAGTGGTGATCATGGAATCTGAAAAATATTATAATTATTCCTATGTCCTTTTAGAACGTTTGGCTATTTTACCGTTTAATGGGTATAAAATTATATGTTTCATTTCATTTCTTACTTTCGTATCCAAATGTAGGTATATCGAACTTTTTATTCTAAACACAATACCATTCTTCTGAGATAGAATTTATTTAGAATAAATGAACTTGGTTCTAACGTTCTAATATCGTCAACTGAGGTACGACGTCAAATGTTACCATTATTGTCTTTGACTGAGTCTTCGAAACCATGTGCTCACGTTAAAATTTTGGCTTAAAGGTCCCGGGGAGTACGCTCTGGTTCCAAGAGTACCGTAAAAGAATAATTACGACTTAGCATGACTTTGAAATGACAGTGGCATAGGGAGATGTATCAAAAACTAAGAAGTTATGTACAACATTAATGTCAGTACTTAATATAAGTTCAGTACAATAAAATATAATTAACAAATGGAAGTTTTGGTAGTTTTTACTTCAATTATGTAATCGTTGTATTTAATACAAATATGTTCAGTTAATTGTAAATAATAATATAAAAATAAATATTTAGCATTTTTTTAAAAATATGTATTTTTTATATGACCGTGTCTTTAGTAAGATTACCGTTTTAGAAATGAAATAAGTGGGCATTATGTCTAGTATTTAGGCAAGATCACATAATTTGGTTGAAAAACTAACTGGACCTTTTTGAATCCTTTCGTGAGTTGATTTTCTATTTATATTTTCATTCATTTATTCATCCAGATTTTCATTCATTTATTCATCCAGATATTCTCTTATTCTAAAATATTAATCGTCATTTGTTTTTTTTTATATCTTAAAAAATATTTCTCCTTGTCTCTTAAAAAAGTATTTTGTAAAGATATACGAATAAGTAAATTGTATGTTACCTGTAGGTTTCCAATTGTCATTATAATGATGAAGTTTTTTACTTAGATTAAACTAGAGTTTATATTCAGCATAGAACTTGACAAATGCTCTTAAATAAAAATAATTTTGTAGTCGTCATTAGAATTCATGCACGAATAAAAACATTTGAAGTTAAGTTGTTCCTGCATTTATAACGTTCTAAAGAGATGAAAGGTTGCTTACAGAAACCACGCTTTTTATTACGTGTCGATTACTGCCGGTTCATTCTACTGCGGGCCGCAGACAAAGACTTAATTCAAAAAGTAAGTATTATAAAAGATAAAAAATTAAAGCAGATAATTTAATAGAAAAAAAACCTTACTTATATTTAAGTTGTTTTCTAAGTAAATATATGCGTGTGAAATTTCCTTGATATTAAGACGTAATAATTTTTACCTTAAATCGAAAAATATTTTAATATGTTATGATTAAGCATGATAAGAGGACGAAGACGCTGTGTTTCTGAAGATGTGTTATGTTTATTCATAATCTCCAATCATGGGACAATATCTTGATTACTGAAAGAATTGGAATGCACTATTCTGGAATTCCAATGTTCAAATTATGACAAATTGAGAGTTTAGCTCCAATTTGCTGTAATGGTGACAACATAATTATAGAATTAGTATGCTTTGAAAATAATCTTTTCTCACCTTAAGGACGCCAAAGCATCCGCAAAATTATGTTGCAGATTTTCATGGGTGACGATAACTACTTCTTATCAGTTAGGCCGTCTGTTAGTTTGCCCCCTTTGCCATAAAAATAGTTTGCATACGTAATAAATTGAAGGTTCTAAATCTTTAAGTAGGTCTGCAAGATTTGTTGCTTACCATAAAATTATCGATTTAAACACAGCATATAATTCAGAAAGATCACAACTTGAAATATATTCCAGTTATGAAGAGAACTACTAAAAAATAATTAGATTAGATTAGATGTGGCTTACGGAGATAAAACCTTCAATTCGTAGAATTGGGTTTTCGTCAAGAGGCAAATATAGTACATATCGAAATCATTGAAGCCTCCTTAAGGTATCTTTATCGACAAGTCTGGTTTGTCTGATATTCTGATATAGGTTGAAATATAATTCTATTGAGAAATTACACACAACTATACTATGGAATTCGTGGTCTGCAAATATGTAGTATTCACACTTGTCAAGTTGTCGTCTTAATGATTTCGGTGTCTAATATCGAAACTGGTTTTGTCACTTCGTTTGCTTTTAATAACATTCCAGTTTAATTATTTGATAAAAATATTATTCGTTTACAACTTCTACATTCTTGTTTCAGTACTGGCATCGAATAATTGCATTTACACTTTTAATTAGTGTTGGCGTAAGTGATCACTGACACGATAAATAAAAGAGGAAAAAGGAGAAAATTAACCGTTTTAAATTTATTATAGCAGACATGTTAACGATTTAAAAAAAATATTACCTAAAAGCAATCCATTAACATGAAGTATTATTCTTGGTTTGTTTGTATGGAAAGCTTACATGGAACAGTTCGGTATACTCGTACTGTGAGACGGACCAAGTTTGAAACAACAATAAGTAAAACTTACAGAGAGATAAACACGTATAACGCAATTAGCGTTACAGTTTCGGCCAAGAATAAAGTGCGGGGAAGTTTGAGAACACATTTCATGAGCGCGATAGTAATTCAATTACAAACTCCCTGAAACTTTTCCGAAGGACCCTAGCTACAAATTTCATTGGTCTGTTATCTTTGCATAATTTTATTGAGTAACATTTGTATCACGAAAAAATTTTGATGTAATTATTGTGTTGGGTGAATATCTACATTAGTTTATGATTAATACGAAATTTATTATTCTTTATATGTTTACTAACAGTTGCCTATATAGTTGTTACGTATTATTTATGTTCGGTCTCTATGTACCTTAATTTAAGATCTGCTATCTTAAATCTCTCCAACAATTTCTCCATACTGTTCTATAGCTGATAGGCAGAAGGCACTAACACGTATATACATTTCATCGCTCTTTGGTTGAAAAACTATATTTTTATATCAGTTGCATATCAATATTATACGAACGAATGGTAATCAGGTTTCCGAATCATAACAGTGCATTAGTATTATGTAGAGTAACTTTTTCCCTATTACTATAAAAATAATTTGTATATATTTTAATACATATGTTCCCTTCTATCCTTATTTAACAAATTGAACATTCAAATGTCTGCTGTAACATAAAGGAAAATATAATTAAAATTAAGATATAGAAATTAGGTTATACAGCTCATAAACATATTTTATTGTCACTTCATTTTCAATAGCCGTGGATAACAAATGAACATAATTGTTCACTAATGCATCAAAACTAAAAAGAAAAACTAATTCGTTTAGGAACAACGTTATCTGTATACACATATGTATTCTTTATATTCTTTCTTGATAGTTTCTCACTATTGTCAATTTATTCACTATGCGTAAGGAACACATTCTTTCCATAACTTAATTATTTAACTGTGTATACAATATTTAATAACAATTATTGTTCTTAAAGGAATTTCAATGGAGATTTCTATACTTGAGTTCTTTTCTAGTTATTATTTAGCGAGCAAAAATATGTCTTTATATATTGTTAGACTACATTATTTAAGTATGAAATTAATTTCTATTTCATTAAACTCAAATGTATTTATCAGTGTATCATGTTGGCGACTGGTTTAGTTCGTCAGAACAATTTAGTTCACAATCTATATATATGTTAATTTTAAATATAAAATAAGGAAAGCGCGTAATTTATATATCGGCTCTACTAGCTTTAATAACGGATGTGACATGAAAATAATTTGAAGCCGTCATCAATTCTTATTAAACCTCATTAGTATTTATGATTATTGTTAAAAGTAAAACGAAATCAAAGGTTGTTTAAAAGGAGAATAGAACTATGTTTAAATCTTGGTATAATTATGACGTCTGGACGCACGACAGCAGAATAGAGAATTCAGAATTCAGAGTTCAGTGAGTGCGTATCATTGAATAATATGATTATGAAGAACCTTCGAGAAATACAGGAACATTAAGAATAATAATTGAAGTTTCATTTTAAATATCATGGAACGTACTAGAAGAAGTGATATTTGTTACGTCAGCGAAGCTGGCGTCTCTCTCTTTAAAAACAATGAATTTGTAATTAATCCGATCTATAAAATAAGGTAATATCATTCGTGGGCCGTGATGGCAGTTCTTCTGCCATTTTCGGGACCACTAGACCAAAACTGCATTTCACGGTGTTACCTATGCAGTAACGGGATCGCTTGGGATCGGGATTCGCGACTCAGGATAGAAATAAAAGGTATCCTATATACTTCCCCAGAGTTTGATCTATCTCTATACCAAAAATGATCAAAATCGGTTTAGTAGTTTAGGCGTCAAAAGGTAGCAGACAGACTGATAGACAGATTATTTTAATTGCTCTTCAATTAAATTTAAATAACTTTGTATTATTATTGTTTCATTTAATTTGCATATGGATAATTAAATTTACGATAATACACAATGTTACTTCAATTGTATAGAAAATATGTATATAATGAGAATATTGTAGAATAGAACATAACATAATGACTCATAAGTGAATACTCTATTAAAAATATATTATAGGCAGCCAATAATTTCTGTCGAGCAGTGAACGATAAGACACGTGTGGCGAAGTGAAACTGTTTTAAATACTATAGTAATTTGTTACAACTATAATTATTAAATATTCTTAATGTATGTAGCAAAAATATTTGATAAATTTAAATAAAAATGAGTGAAACGAAGGAGAAATTTGAACTAGATGATGTTCTGGATAAATTTGGTGTTATGAAGCGGTATCATTTAGAAAAGATGATATTAATTTTTATAGCTTTCCTTGTTAATGAAGTTCATTATACCAATTATATTTTCGCAGCTGAAGAAGTTAGTTATCGGTAAGATTAATGTTTCATTTATAGTCATTTATTACAAGTATAAAATTTAAAAAATCCGCCTAAGGTAATGTCTGTAATCTTTAAAAAAATATATAGAACTAAAAATATTGAGACTCGACGTTCGTTTGTTATTATTGTGGAGTATTACGTGATATTTTAGTATTTCGTATACCAGATTACAGTAAGACACATAAGCTATAGACATACCCTTAAACGTCGATTTTTTGGTATATAGTGATATCTAATCACTGTCTATGAATTTGAAAATGAAGTAAAAATTTACTTGTTTTTATGTGGAAAAATTCCTTATTTTTTATGTTATTAAACCCAGTGTCATCTACTAAAACAAGTTTATTGACACTATTCACTTAATGATAAAACAAGACGTTTATTTCCAAAGCAATAATACACACACATGAAAAATATAACTTTTCTTTCAATATAATTTTCTTTCGGTAAATATTTTTATGCATAGATATTAATTTTATCACAAGTATGTAATAATTTTATATTTTCTTTATTTGGTTATGTTACTATGAAAATAATAGGAAAAAATTAAATCTTATTCTTTTGTATCTTTTAAGTAATTAATATTTTTTTCTATCTGAGGTTAGTTTTGAGTAGTTTAGAATTTTGCTACAATTTACTATCGATCCTTTGTAGCCATGAAATGGTAAAAAAAACCATTTCTTTATTTTAAAGTATGTAGAAAGAAAATTAGTTATGGTTAAATTAATAGTTTATTTTTATATTTAACCTACAGAAATAATATTTTTTTTGTGGATGTTTTATCAATAAAACTATTTGATTTAACAGGTACGAATATATCCTTTACATGTATATACTTCGTAGTTGTACATCTAATTGTGGAACGTTTGTAGGTTTTCAATTTAGAAGTAGCAAATACAATGTCGGTAGGAGTATAACAATGAATAAGATAAGGTGTCTTATTTGAAAGGAGTCTTAGTTTGTCTTAAGACATTGAATATGGGAGTAAAAAATATTGACAAATCTTTTTTAAACACTGTTAAGATTATGTCACTCTAACATTTGGAAGTAAGCACTTTATTATTGCAATTTCGTGATTCGATGGGTCCGTGTGGATCTTTGGTATTTCGAGCTAACAAATGATAGTAACCAACTTCTTTCACTAGAGGCGTAAAACCTTTCCAGTTTCAAAAAGAAAGCAAATATAGATTGGATCAGGTGTTTTCAATAGTGGATAGTATCGAAAAAATGTATAGTTTTAATGGCGTGGTTTTTTAACATTCAAAAAATCAAGTGCTTTACTTTTGTCCAGTAATTAATTATATGATCAAATAAAAAAATATCATAATTATTGTGCAATATTTACAGATGCAAGGATGACTTCGAAGGTAAATCTCAATGCAGTTTTAACGAAACATATACGTGTCCTGAATGGGTGTATGATAACAACGACAGCTTTTTTGCATATGTAAGTAAAATCCTTCCAACAATAGATATAAAACATATTTTCTAGATATCAAAATTTTCCAAAATACCTGTAATGAAATACTTGCTCCCGGCATGAAAAAATCTTAATACAACAACGTGCTGAAACAGATTTTCTATTTCAAACAAGGTTATTCATATAGTTTCAGTTGGCTTGTCAGGAATGGAAGAGAACTTTGGTTGGAACAATACACAACGCTGGTTACATGTGCGGGCTGTGGCTAGTTGGACCAATGTCTGATCGGTAATCATTATAACTTTAATAATCATATATTTGAACTTACACTTTATAATACAAAAAATATAATTTTAAGTTAGTACATACTCGTGCTACTAGTGTGTAATGTAGGGTTTATGTCTAAAGAAGCAATAATTTAAAACATTTATGTGATTAAGGAATAATCACACATATTATTTGAAATGAAAAACAGCAGAAAGCATTTAATCATTATCTAACATAGTTTTTAGAAGTTTAAATGATTCAAAGACAATATTTTAGATACATAAATAGATATATTTAGTAATACATCAGCTAACATATTTTAAGACAGATTCTTTGATGTATTTTTTAAGATTTTCAATGTCAAATTATGGTAGGGTATTGGAATCGAAAGCTTTTACGGGTGGGCTAGCACCCCGTAAAATATTGGTTCACTGGTTGACATTACACCATACACAGTGGTATATAGACATAGGGTGGCTCCATCTTTTGAAATAAATTTATTCATTACATTACTATGTACTAGTATGTATAATATTAATACCAAAGTTTCAGTAATCCTATTTTATTTTAAGAACGTATTATGTAAAACCTTTTTATTTAAAATATATAGTTCAATAGTATCTACTGTTGTATGTTATACGGCATTAAGTATGATTAAGTAGTCTGCATAATTTCAATGTATGCATATAGGATAAAATTTAAGATTTTAAATTGTCTTGTCAGAATTGTTAGTAAAACTATTCGCATCTTACTAAGTATATGCAGTAGAAGGGTTCTATCAACTTTTCTTGTTATCTGTTCAACGAGTCTCGATGTAAAGGAATTGAAATAATAAACATATTTTTAGATTAGGAAGAAAAACTGTGGCAATCGTCACATCGGTTTTGGGTGCATTATTTGGGACTTTGAGAAGTTTCTCATACTGGTACTGGTTTTATCTGGTTATGGAATTCTTGGAAGCAGCTCTGGGTGACTCTTGTTCGCCCTTTTATATTTTGGGTAAAGATTCTTAGTACATATTTTTTATATTATAAGTGAAATGTTACTGATTTTTCTATACTATTACAGCGTTGGAGTTGGTATCACCAAGAAAAAGGATTCCGTTTTACATGTATTGCAGTTTTGGTTACAGTTTTGGAGGAATTGTTGTGGCGTTTTTAGCATGGGTGACACCAGATTGGAGATGGTTTCTGAGGTCGATTTACGTACCATCATTCTTTTTTATATTTTATACTTTCATACTAGACGAAAGCCCTCGTTGGCTTTACACTAAAGGTCGTAGAGATGAAGCTGAAAGGATTCTAAAAAATGCTAGCAACAAAAATAAAATGGAGATCGATAAGCAGGTTCTTGATAAGCTTTCATGTGAGGTCAGCCCTAATGTGAGTTTCAGTGAATTATTCAAAAGTACGTTCAAATCAAAACTTCTAAGGCGCCGTTTCTTAGTATGCCTGGTCTGGTGGATGACATCTGCTTTCGTTAACTACGGTCTGCTAATAAATTCCGTTTCATTACAAGGGGACAAGTACATAATTTTTGGTGTAATGCATTTGGTGGATATTCCTGGAATTTTAATATTTAGTTACATATGCAATAAATTTAAAAGAAAACGTCCTTTGATAATATCGTTTTTAGCAGGTGGAGTTTTTAGTATACTGCAACCGTTTGTACCAATGAGTAAGTATTTGTAGCGTTTCAGTTATAAATACTTTAAAAATAATTCTATCTTTAAAATAATATACAAGAATTACATTGTATTTTTATGAATTAAATTAAATTCAACTCCATTCGGAATCAAACTCACAAATATTTTCACTGTACGTTTTAATACTATCCTTTAGAAGTGTATTTTTACTATAAATATTATTGTATTGAACATTCTTTGTAAAAATGCCTGTTAACAAACGAGTTATATAGGAATTTAATAGTTATAAAGTTTCTTTCAATTTGTAGATTATCCTTGGGTCTCTATAATATTTTATATGACGGCCAAGATGATGTGCATGCTTTACTTCAACCTCACGTATCTGTATACATTAGAACTATTTCCAACATACACTCGGAACTCAATGCACGCTTTATGCTCCTCGTTCGGCCGCGTCGGGTCAGCGCTAGCGCCACAAACTCCGTTACTTGTAAATATTAAATCGAGTTATAACTCAATATTCTATATCCATATTTTTAATGTCAATCAATATTTTAAAAAAATATTTACCCTAATATTTAGAATATTTCCTATTAAATAATTTGATAAAAATAAATAGACTATTTTCGTGGCACATATTTAAATTGTTTTCTCTTGCCCCTGTAGTGTGAATTTGTTGGTAATATAAGAAAAAAATGGGCTTGTATGAGAACGTGAGTGAATGAGTTAAGATATATAATGATGTATTCCAGGCAATGTATTGGAAAGGTCTCCCATCACTTATATTTGGTGTCACAGCTGTGATCGCCGCTCTGGTCACGTGTTTCGTTCCCGACGTATCCAATGAATCGCTTCCAGACACGGTTGAACAAGCTGAAGGAATGGGAAAACCTAAGAAGACTAATATACAAGGAAGATAGGACAGCATAGTATTCCATTAGAGCAATTAATTGTAATACTATATATCTCTGAGTGTACTTATAAATAATAGTAATGTAGAAGTAAGTACCTTTAAATTTAATTTAAGATAAAACATCAGTTTAAAGAACTTGAGATTTCTTGGCGTTTTTGATGCATCTGAAATTAAAAAAGAATGTTCTTATACATGTATCGAAGTGGTGGAGAGGATATTTGTAAGATACGACTGTTTAACGACAATGAATTACAATAAATGACGAATATGATATATAAAAAAAGATAATCAACAAGTGAAGATATTTTTAAAATGAATAAATGTACATTTTACCTATAATACAATATCTTCATCAACATATTTGGGATAGTATTCCAGTTTTATTTCTGTGTCTATATTCAGTAGAAAGTAGTTTTAAAAAAGTGTATGTTTTATAAATTTAACTATAGTATAGACTGAAGGTTTTAGAGACAAAAATTTTTTGCTTGTACCTGATTACCGAAATAATATCACCGAAATTTTATAGTAGTAATTACAGAAAAAATAAACAAAATAAGCGAATGCATGATATATTTAAAATATAGTTTCTACTTAATCTCAAGGAGAGCTACAAGTTTCCCTGTGAGTTATAATAAATACATACATATTTAAATGAAATATGGACCTTCATAAAAAATCCCTAATTTTCATAAAAGTTTATCTCAATTCGCATCATCATTTTAGATTCTAGTATACATATTAAATAAATTTACTAGGAAAAATATATACTAGCAAAATCATATTATACTTCTACATGATTCAGTAACGAGCGAATATCATAAAATATTTGAGTTGAAGGCAGAAATGTCTAGCAACATTTTTCCTTAGAGCGCATACTGCATACAGCCGAGTACCGCAAAACGTGACAATAATTACAAACACTCCCGATGTAATATACTACAGGAAGGCCGTTACTTTTGATACAGTATTAAACGTCAATATATAAAAATATATATTATATTAAAACATATATCTATGTATTAAAGAAACGTTTCATCTATTTTCTTAATACTACTCATTGGAGTGGAGGTATGTCTACTTTATTAATTAATATACTGAATTGAATTAATAACTTTATTATGATAAGAAAGTATAAATTTTTAAAAGTCCATAAAATGCTTTCTTTGAAATAACATAAATTTTTATTTAAAAATAAAACAGTACATAGAAATGTCTTTATTGTTTACGCTTCATGAATTAAGAAAGGTGCTATATTTTAGCTCTATACCGAAAAAGATATTTAAGATCATGATGAGATTTCTTCTGTCGTACTGGTATGGTCATGTCTCACTGTAATAAACAATAATTTTACACCAATATAAATTACTTGTTACATATCTTATTGGTACTGAACTAGTCTGAGGTCTGCATATTGTTTTAAGAAACTGGCAACCGAGTAATTTATTTCTTGACTAAATCTGTGGTCGTTGAGGCCTAGAGCTTAAACCCCCCTCTCGTACATGTCGTTCGAAACCTGGCAAGTATCAGGTGAATTTTCCGAGTCATACGTACTTTCTAAGAGTATTTAGACACCACTGACAGACGGTGAAATAAAACATCGTGAGGTTTTACAATTTCAAATTATAAGTTTATAGTCACCAATCCGTCTTGAGCAAGCGTGGTGATTAATGCTCAAACCTTCTCCATGTGAGAAGAGGCCTTTGTTCAGCAGTGGGCCCTAATAGGATGATGATGATCAAATCTGTCGACTTTCAAGTAGAATTAAACAAATAGTATGAACTCAACAATATTGAACAATAATTAAAATTAATTTATTTTGTATTGAACTAACACTTGATATCTATAAGTCGATTTCCGGAGAGGATTTTAAATCTACAATAATAAGTTTAAAAAGGAGAGTCGTTATAAATGAGGCGAGACGATGATCTTAAGTTTTAAATAATCCGTCTTTCCATCAGCGGCAGTGATGTTACGAATATATAATGTACTGGCTATTACAACTTGTTTGAGAATGACAGAACATAACAGTCATATTGTTATTTAAAATAGAATTGCAGTTTTTTTTATATAAAAAAAGATAAATATAAATATTACGGACAGAATTAAAATATTTAATTAGTATGTTTAAAGTTCATCGTTTTCTTATTTGTTTTTTTATTACACTTTTTATTTGAATTGTTTTTATGTTGTTTATTTAACTGTTTTATTTAAGGCTTATAGCTGGAAAAATTAATTGTCAATTGAGATTTGGTGCCAGTTAATAACGTCTAAAGACACGCCTATCAAATTTACCATTTTAATTTATCATTCATATAAATATACAAAAAAAATAGTATTAATCATTTTATTTCAATAAAAACTGGTTTTTACTTGATTAAAATTCTACCTGATAATAGGCAGGTTTGAGCTAATAGTAGTAAACTCGCTATTCAGGTAATCATTCATTCTTTATCCATATAAATGGCCGTCCATTTTTATCATTTGACGTTATATGTAATTTGTATTTTGTACTTAATAAGGAATACCTTCAATAAAGTTTGTTCAAAATACTCGGGCAAAGTATATCCGTACCGGATGGCCTGACCGGAAACCGGCGCTACATCTGCCCAGTGACGTCATCACCGGAAACCCTCGCTTCGTCTTCGACATTTCCAAAAAGCCTTCAGTTACCAAACGAATAATGGTTCCTTTAATACTTTAAACGTTTATTAACAATTACTGAAAATAGTCCTGTGTATATATTGTAATTTGGTTTTATTCAAGTAAAATGTATAATTTATTTTGTATTAAGAATTTAAATCTAAATTGGAGTTATCGCTCGTTTTTGCAATTCAGCAGTTTCGATATTTATATTAGACATGGGATATAAGTTTTTTGAAGTATTAAAATTACTAATATAAAACTATTAACTTTTTATTACGCTTTTCCTTCCAGCTAAGTGACCATTAATAATACCACTAACATTTTTATACTCCATAGAAACAATTCAGGTCAAATCTCATGTTGTATGCAGGAAATCTTTGTATGCATGTAAAAATTATTTCTTGTGTACGTCCAATACTTGTTTGCCACTTTACTATTCAAATTCTAGAATAGTCTGTGATATTTGAATGCTGTAGGTGTCTAGTTTGTTTTTTTGGATAAAAGTTTATTAATTTTTAAGATTAAGTTACTTACTATGATGAAAGAAAAATAACAAAGTTATAATTTTGTGCTATGTGAAACAAGTTTTTTAAACAGATTATTCGAGGTTAAATTATATGTTTTTTTCATAACTTGATTAGAGGTTAGTAGTAGTTAGTATTTACTGACAATAATACAATTATGTGTAGCATATACATATGTATCTTCGGTTCTTGTCATTATAAAGAACTATTTTATATGTGTGAACACAAATTGAAGTTTGAATGTAAAATTTGTTTACACGTACCAATATACCATTGAAGTTACGTATCCATTTAAGTTTAGGAACAGTATCATGTGAATTTCTCACTTCCTTTGACTTAGACAAACATTATGTATGAATTGTTATAGTTTCAGTATTGATAATAGCAGCCACCTTTTACTTAATCATTAATTCGTACTAGCTTAAAAGTATTTCGTGGAAACAATAATCCTCTTACAAGTTAATATTTTTACCTAATAGATTAAGTTTTTATAACTGAACAAGACAATGTATACTTAATTATTTTAAAGAGCTTTAATTTTAAAAAGCTAAAAACCCATTTAGTCGGTGGGTCACGACGTGGGTTGAACAGTAATTTATTTTGTTACCTTTTCTTATACAGAAAAAATAGAAAGTTATTCTGTGAAATATATGTATTTATTTACATATATTAAATTATTATAAATTAAAAATAAATATTTTAATATTCTGGATAGCACTGTTATCATTAAAATTCATGAGAATTCACATCTGGGTTTTTGTCCTCAATACTGTCTTAAATTTTTTTCAGTGGTTTTTCAACGAATACAATTTTTAAAAAAATACATGAAGAATAGAATTTGTCTAAATGAGGCTATAGTTTTTTTAGATAAACTTTGTATTTTATTCTTTAACTTTTGGCCCGACGTTTGTACATTACAGCCACTGTGATGATGAGCATCTGATGTAAATGGGTAACCGAAAGAAGGCACGTTCATCGTAGTGGTCATACAGAGTTATATATCTGAAATATTATAAGTTTATTCAAGAACATTATGTAATAAATTTGTGAAGTAGGTATATTAAAAGCATATTTGTCCATATAAAATACATCGGTGCATGATGTACACCGATGACATTAAGTACCATAACAGAAGAAACCTCTATTACAATATTGCTAAGAGGAACGTTTATACATGACAAGGAACGACACGATAAGTTTTTCATGGAAGTATTATATTATTACTATTAATATCGGTTTATAAACAAATATTATACATATTATAAGAGAACTTTATAGACACAGACACTACTTTACGTGAACATATCGATTGAAAACATAAAACCAATATTTTTAATTAACAATATAAAGAATAAGGAATTCATTAATGATTCAATTGATATTTCATATAAATGTATACAAATGTCTTGTGTTATAAAATGTCCTGTTGTAATCTCAAGTGACTTCCAATGTAGCATCGCTTGTACCTGAGATCTAGACCAAGTATTAATAGTTGGTGGATGTTATGTTTTGAATTATTATTTTTCATTTTATATTCTCCACATCTGTTATAGAAATCTTGGAAAAAAAATTCAAAAGAGGTTTCTTATAAATTATTCATAAAAATATTATTTTAGTTATATCAATTAAGGAAACAAGACTTCTGAAGAATAACACGCGGCTCATTACACTTATTTTGGTCGGAGTACATAAATATTAGTTTAAGCCACTGACGGTGAAGATAGGAAAATCTCATCTCATTGAAATGGAAAAGACTAAAACTCTTCAATATATAAGACATTATAAGGTCGATGGTTCTCGCGACATTCTTTTATGAACTTAAATCTTGAGTTGTAATAAA